GGGTGCCCCTCCAGGGCCGGGTGGGGACGCTGGGGACGCTGCAGCTGGTGGCCATGCTGCGGGGCATCGCGGCCGGCATGCGGTACCTGGCCGAGACCGGCTTCGTCCACCGCGACCTGGCCGCCCGCAACATCCTGGTGGACGCCCAGCTGGTCTGCAAGGTCTCCGACTTCGGGCTCTCCCGCGCCCTGGAGGAGGAGAGCTCGGCCGACCCCACCTACACCAGCTCCCTGGTGAGGCCACCCCCGCGGGGCTGCCCGGGCGCCCGGGTCCTCGGTGGGGACGGGGTCCCACCAGGGGTGGGGTCTCTCCAGGGTTGGGGTCCCACCAGGGCTGGGGTCTGTCAAGGGTTGGGGTCCCACCAGGGTTGGGGTCCCACCAGGGCTGGGGTCTGTCAAGGGTTGGGGTCCCACCAGGGTTGGGGTCCCACCAGGGGTGGGGTTCCCCGGATGCCTGGGTCCCAACGGGGTTGGGGTCTCTCCAGGGTTAGCGTCCCTCAGAGACACCTGGACACCTGGACCCCAACAGGGTTGGGGTCTCTTTGGGGTTGGGGTCCCTCAGAGACACCTGGACCCCAACAGGGCTGGGGTCCCACCAGGGTTGGGGTCCCACCAGGGTTGGGGCACCTCTGGCGTTGGGGTTTCTCAAGGGTTGGGGTCTCTTCAGGGTTGGGGTTCCTCAGAGACACCTGGGTCCCACCAGGGTTGGGGTCCCTCAAGGATTTGGGGTCCCTCAGGAGGTGGGTTCCCCTGGGGGGCTGGGATCCCCCGGACACCGGGGTCCCCCACGATCTCCCCGTCCGCAGGGGGGGAAGATCCCGATCCGGTGGACGGCGCCGGAGGCCATCGCCTTCCGCAAGTTCACCTCGGCCAGCGACGTCTGGAGCTACGGCATCGTCATGTGGGAGGTGATGTCCTTCGGCGAGCGGCCCTACTGGGACATGTCCAACCAGGACGTGAGTCGCCCCGGGCGCCCGGGTCCCCCCGGCGGGGCGGGAGGGGAAGGGGGGCCCACCCAGACCTCGGTGTCCCCTCCCGGACGCCGGGCTCCCCAGGAGGTGGGGGGCGGAGTGAGCGGGGGGGCCCCAGGTGCTGGTGGGGGCGGTTGGAGCCTCGTTAGGAGCAGCTGGGGGTAATTAATGAGGGGTCACGAGGGGCAATCGGCCCTGGGCGGCCCGGGAGGGGGCCCAGCTGCCGCGCCCGGATGCCTGGGGCCCTGGTGGGTCCGGGGGTCCCCTGGGCTCCTGGGTCCCCCCTTGAGACCCCAGGAGGGGGTTTGGGGGGGCCCCCGTGGGGCAGGGGCTCCCCCAGATGCCTGGACCCTCCATGGGGCAGGGGTCCCCTGGGTCCCTGGGAGGGGGCTCGGGGGGCCCGGGCACCTGGGTCCTCGGTAGGTCGGGGGTCCCCCAGACGCCTGCGTCCCCCCTGGATGCCTGAGAGCCCAGGAGGGGTTTGGGGGGGCCCAGATGCCTGGGTCCCCCGTGGGGCAGGGGCTTCCCGGGGTCCCCCGTGGGGCAGGGGGATCCCCCCCCCCGGCCCCCGCGGGCCCCCGGGG